ATTGCCACACCTTGCCACCATGTCAAAAACACAATTGATTTAAATGTCAAAAACTTGGCTAATGGTTTTATGCGAGCTAGTTCATCTTTTGTAACAGCGTAAAACTGAACAAGACAGTACAAAGCCCATGACTGACTAAAATTCAGAACCACCGCAATATAAGGATACCTGCAAGCACAAGAAAATTATGATGTTGAGATTCCTTTATGAGTTAAACTTCATTAATATTTATCCAATTCTTTTGTAGGAGAACGAGATATGTAGGGCATCAACAGAATAGTAAGAAGGAAAATTGATAAGTCAAAATATCGCGAGCACTTCAAACAGAAGAAGTAATTGGCAAAATCCCACAAGCTCTGATACCATAACATAAGTCAAAGGTTCAAAGAAAGAGGCTATGGCTACGGAAACTGAGGTCTTGACAGGCCTCTCCTGCTTGTTTTTGAAATACATACTTTAAAAGAACTAACGCAAGATCACGTGACCATTTAGCGTCTCTATCAATTGACAAACCCGTACACATTGCAACAGGCAAAAAAAAATGAGCTATCATATGTTAACCACCATCTACAGTGTGTTTAGCGAGATTTTAGAGGTTATTTCAACATGCAGAATTCCTGAAGATTCATTTCTAGGTATACAACATATAACCAAAACTTACAAGTCCCTAAGGAGCATCTACTTCACATGCGAATTGACACAATCAATACATAATCAGTATGAGTAACATGCAAGAGTTCCATGAGAAATTCAATACTAATAGTTCAAAGAGCTTCTTAGGGGCCAAAAAAAAGACTTATCCTATTAAATATATTACATGATAATTTCAAATTACAAATGCTTTTCCTATAATCATTTGAGATTGTCTTACCCACATCCCCATTTAAATTCACCTTCACAGTATACACCAAAAGCTTCAAGGATAACTGCTACAATAGCACTGAGAGACTTAATTAACATCTGTCCAAGAATAAAAAATGAATTTATGTTATATAAGGGAAATGGAATTAGAGAACACGAAACAACAGCCAGTACAAAAAATAAAATAAAAATTCTCTAAGTGATGGTAAACATACATACTGAACAATTCCGAATTTGACAACTTGGTACAACCATTGACCAAGTTTCCATGGTTTCAAGATATAGTTCATTGGAAAAGGATGCTTAACAGTTCTCATTTCAGAACTGTGTTCTAATAGGGGAGTCTTAGAACTTGCACGTCCTTCCCTTTCCATGAATTCAACAGTCCTCTCTTCCCCACCTTAGCAGGAGAAAAAAATATATATATATATAAACGGATAATGTCAAAAGCAGAATAAATATAAACTACGGAAGTAAAGAAGTTTCTTTATCTATTAAAAACAAAAGGACTACAAACTGCAAATGAAAAATATCCTGGATAGATATGTACCCCATCAAACAAGGATTATTTGAAACTACCATACATACACTAAGTTAAAGATGGCAACTGTGATAATTCTACATGATTGTCATATGATTGGCCCTGAACACTTAAAAACCTTAACATTGTGCAGAACAGGTATTTATTTGTTTGTGCATTGGCCCTGGAAACTTCAAATTTTAACATTGGCCCTGATGTTAGATTCTCATATGCAGAATAGATTTATTTGTGCATGGAGAGAGAGAGAGAGAGAGAGAGAGAGCTGAATGTGTATGCAAGAACAGCCAAAGAACATTTATTATCACATTGCAGCCAACAGGCCAATCCTGCCATGAACAGTGCAATCTTGTCCACAATCAGAACAAGATTGTCAATGAATGCTTAATAACCATGTATTAGACATGAACATATACTTCCAAAGCTTTTGTGAAATTCAAGTTTGAGATCCAAATACCCATTTAATGTATTATGACATTCCAAACCCATCAAAATTGAATTTTAATGAGCATGTTAGCTAAAGTGTCTATAGATAAACAATGGCATCGTAAAAGTTCTTGAAAGGGACATACCCAAGCATGCAACCAGGTACCTTCCAAAGCAATACATGGCAAAGGATTCATAGCAATCCCGTAGAATCTCGCAATAAACGCTTATCGAAGGGTTCAATAAAGATACTAACTGAAAAGAACACCAAATTAGAATCTGGAAAAAAAAAATACCAAATATCAGAGGAAGAGTACTTTTTCTGTCTGTAACACAGGCATACCTGTACATCTAAATTCAATAGTAAGAAACAATGATCACTTTCAAATCTAATACAAGAACTTAATCTTCCCAAATTAACAGAAACTTAATGAATAGTACATGTATATTCAACTCATTATCTTCCCAATGAATCCAAAAGAAGCATGGATGTTTGTGAACCAAACAAAAACAAATCACAATTGAAAAATTCATCATCTTTCGTATGTTAAATTTCAACTCACCGTTTACCATGCACATTAAAGTTTAAACAACAAACTACACATAAGGTTCTCATAGGGAACCACAGGCACACATGTCATATGTGCAGACGCAAACACCATAAGTCCCCCCACCCTCTCTTTTCCTGAACTACTTTTCCTACCCTTTCTCTCCCCTCTGTCCATTTAACACTTGCTGTTAATGATCTACACTAATAACCATTCTCTAAAACAAGTGTGGGTTAAAGAAAGTATATTTAAAGGACATTTAAGATTAATATATGTTCTACCTATAATCCCAAAGAAAGGCTTGAATAAAAAAATACAAACAAAATTAAATTTCAAAAACAAAAATAAAAACTTACTGATTCTATTGCATAGCACGGAACCATGAGGACAACACCAATTAAAAACTTTTGCTCCTGAAAGGGTCACACAAACCAAAATGTGAAAAATGCACCAGATAAACATTACAATAGAACCATGCATATTAAATACAATTTATGTCACTATGGAATAAATACCTCAGGATTTTTGTATGCAGAAAGGTGCTCAAATACAAGATAAATTGAAAGGGTGAGAGTGATGAGTACAAATACACCACAAACTAGACTTGCCCACGTAGGAGGTGTGTAGGCCAACTGGGTAATGAATTCGAGAAATGGTGTTATCTTCATCAGCCGTATTTCCTTCTGAACAGCCTATATTCTCAAATATTGCCAGCATAATGGAATTAAATTATCAAATCACAAACATATGCATTAGGCGGTGAATCACCACAGACAACAGAATATGGACCTGTTCACCCAGATGATGAATAATAAGCATAAATTGAGAGTACAAATTATATAAATACCTAGCACACAACTTAATATATGATTATTCTCGCGTAGTAAAAAAAGACAGATTGACAGAGAAACAAAATCGGTAAAAGGGTGCATGGAAAACCGAAAATTAATGCCATAATTTGTTCTGAGATCACCATTCCCTAAGCTCTAAATGAGTTACCATTACACCAAACCATTAGCATGCAAGTATTTAACTACGATGTTTAGTGCCTTGCAACTGAGTCATGATACCGAATCAAAAGAATAAAAAATCATACATTATTGGACATTTTATCATGAGATCATAGCACCACAATGCTCAAAATCCTAAATTAGTATACATTTGCATACGCAAAATCTATGCTCGTCAATTCAGACCAACCCTCATACACCATACTCAGTCAAAACTTGCAGCTCAAATCAGCACAGGAAAAAATGCTAGGCATGTTCCCCCTAAAGTGAATTTATCAGTCTTTGAGATGGGCAATAAAATCCCATCAACATTGTGCATTCAAGAATCATTTTTCTTTAAAAAAAAAAAAATCAGCTTTTTCGATAACCAATCCAATTAAACAGTTCAGAAGTCAACAGTGCAAAAAACAAAAATCAGGTCACCTTTTATGTACATCTTAAATCAATTAGATCAATCAGATAACAGAGAGAAGACGGAATTCCACAAAAACTGTAACAAAAGTCAGCTCATTTAGGTACAATTACTCCGAAGATTGAAGTGGAAAACATAAAAGGAAGTAAATTTAAATCATTTTTCCCACACTTTCCCAGCAACCAAACAGAGAAATAAGAAATTGAAAGCAGATGAGCTGATTGGCGCAATCAATTTAACCAAAGAAATCCGATTTTACCACGGCGGGGGTAAATATGGAAGAAAAGGGTGAGAAATTACTTACAGAGAGAGCTTCGTCGACTTGGCCCAGAAAGCCAGAGAGGAGATCCTTTCTTCTGAGAAAATCAAATCGGCGTTATAAACCTCACGAAATTCGCATTACAGAAACCTATCTGAAACTTAACACGGACGCGGCACGTGACACTTTGTTCCAACGGAATAAGCGGAAAGGCTATGTTTGTCTTCTTTTATGTTTTTAGGAAAGTGGAAGTGTAAAACTGTAAAACACTAAAACTGTGTGAAGCGAGAAATTTTTCGTTGTGACGAGGAGACATATAGTATACTACTTGTAACTGAAGTAGTAGAAAATTTTATTTTTTAAGTTGTTAATGTGTTTTGCATATATATTTTACCATTTATATAATGACACGTGAAGTACCATCATGGTCTAAAATATCCATAATATCCCGATATTTACATCGAAATTTCCGTGTTTTTGGATTACCGATATTTTTTTAGACTACCGATATTTCCGATATCATCGATATTTTAGACTTTGCTAAGTCACTCATGTATCTTACCATGCAATGTATAAAGTATAAAATATTGTACTAATTCATTATATATAAATGATTATGGTGTGTTTAAACTTCTTTCATTAATTACTACATATTTTCTACTCACAATGTTTGTCAGCTCGCTATATAATCAACTTAAATCAGTTATATCTATTATGCAATGCATTTCCTTCCAATTTTTTGTGATAAACTAATTGATAATTGACTAAATAAACATCTTGCAAAGTTTCAATAAAAATTGCCAAGTTTTTCTTACAATTTCCGTGGTTTTTATTCAATTTTTATCGATATCGATAATATCTCGATATTTCCATCAAAATTTCTGTATTTTTGAACTACGATCTTTCCGATATCATCAATATTTAATAGCATGAGTACCACCATGCGATCACATTGAAAAATCTGTGTAGCGGCGAGCAAGGCCGCGTTTCGAGAAGATATAAAAATTGAGAACTCGACGACTCTGGGAGAGTGGTTCGCGCGAGTCGACTCGGCCCATACCGGAAACATCACGGCGCCTCAGCTCAAGGTACTTCTCCGGCAATCCCTCCGCTCTAATCTTCCCGAAATCCCCAATTTTTGTCTTCCCTCGAACTTACGACGACGTTTCGATGGTTACAGAGCGCTCTTGCTGTTAGTAATAAAGTGAGCTGCTTTAAGCCGTGGTTAGCGGTTCATGTTTTCTTTATAATTCGTGCACTTTAATGTGTATCACAGACATTAGGCTACAACTAATCGTGGCTATCTTGTTCCTGATGATGTGCATGAGGTAATATCTGGTTTTCTCTTTGCATTGCATTAAAAAGGTAAAGTTTGTGCGTTCAGATACATTGCTGATAAATCATGTGTGATTAATGTGTCTGGAACTTGAAGGCTATATATCTTTTGATACTAGTGTGATAGGAAGGTTGTTCCTCCTGGCCTCTGGCCTCTCTCTTGTATGCTATTTCTTATCTCAACTCTCAATTGCTCAACTACTGCGACAGGCATTGGTGAAAGTTGATGCGGTGCTTCCTGTTTAGTGATTGTAATCCTTTTGCTTGTCCGGCGGTTTGCTATGATGAAAGCTTCATTTACTCAAATATTATACCCCCAAAAGAGATATCTAAAGGCTTTATTCAAGGCTTGAGATGGTTTCATATCGCTTATTCATTATTGTGCATAGTTTTGATTAAAACTGGTTGCGTTTCAATTCACAAAAGGTGTTTTAAACTTTTAATTCAGATTTAATGAGTCTCGTCGGATTTCCTAAGTTAGGTTAGACAAATTATCCTTACATGCACACCCACGCACATCTGTGCCTGGTTTGGTTGTGAGATCTTTGACTATCAAAACTCGATGTTTTGCATCTAATTAAGCTAGACAAATACCAATCTTGAATATCTTTATATAATCTATCTACTATTCTGAAGATCAACGGTGTTGTTTGCCATTTTTTGTTTCATTTGATACAGCTAAGCAAGGCAGAGTGACTCTGGATCTCAACCAGTTTGTCTACTGCAGTGAAGTCTTGGTGATCCATCAACTATATGATGTTTTTCGAATTGGAAGATGTAGAGAAAGACAATACTCCAAACTCCAGAGTATTGCTTCTCAGTTAGTGCAAACTCCACACTAGCCCAAGACTTACAACCAACAGTAAAGAGAAAGAATGGAACTCAACGAAGATGAATCAACTTTCACTAACAAGGAAATAAGCTTACAAGTTACAACACTCTCCCCAAGAGCATGAACAATACCATCAAAAGGAAAGATGAAAAACTAACTCAAAAGGATAAGCAGCAGCTAGTTATCAATGCAATTGAAGACTATTGTCTGGAAGGAACACCAAAACATAAAGGAGTGCCACTGCACCATGAAAACATGCGGGTTCCCAAGACAGCCACAATTAAGGAATTAATATAAGTTGTTGGGTATGTGGTAAGTCATTCTAGAAAAACCACTTTAATTTTAACAGAAGAAGCGCCCATGGTGAGAATGATCAAGAACTGGAAGGAGATCTTGATGACGACGATGATGAGGAAGAAGCCCAGAACATGCAAGCAAGTGATCACGAGGATGAAAGCGAAGGTAGCGCCCAGAACATGCAAGAAGCAAGTGAGCATGATGATGGAGGAGAGGCCGACGAGAGCTATGATCAGTATGGTGACGAGGAACACCAAAACATGCACGAAGCAATTGATCATGAGGAATGGGATGATGATAATGACTATTTAAGTACAAATGATTTTAGAGTTTACAAGATGGATGTTCAGACTGGTAACTTTCTCAAGTTACAAAGACCGGACCAGATATTATGTTTGACCGATTATGGTTCAATGTCTCTTCAAGCGAGTGATTTCAAAGAGTTGGAAAAGAATAGTATTTACTTCGCAACAAATGGAACCTCCGAACCCGTATTACACTGTCTTATTAATCCTAAGTGATGTATAACGCATCAGAAAGAATAGTATTTACTTCGCAACAAGCGAGTGATTCCAATTGTCCTTTGCCCAGTTCGACAACCCATCAGAATATCTACATAGGATTGTACTCTAAAATCTTTTGAATCCAGTATGCTTTCAGGATTGTGCAATGTGCTTTGGTTTGAGATTTTTCTTAAGTCAATGCATGAATATCCCACCTATGTACTCTGACTTCACATTGTAAGAAATTCAATTCGTTAACATCATTGAATTCATCTAATACATGTGGACGCTCTAGATTATGAATAACACAACCCAATAGCTATGTACATTCAATACTATTACTTAATGGGCATCATCTTGTCTAAATTCAATTGTGTCTGCTTACTCAATAAGCATCATTTCCAGTGTCTGGTCATTCTTTTTACGAAAGATCCCACACTTTTACTCATTGGTTGCCATGACATTTCCCTCTTCTCTGGGTGTGCTCACCGGGGAAGAAGATCGGCGCTGCTGCTGCTGGCGACCGTGTTTTGGTCGAAAAATCGTGGGGCGAGTTCGTGGTTCAATAGTGATCAGGAATATGAACTGAGAAAGGTGAATCTTGACGTTCGAAAACCAAAACCCTTCATAATTTCAAATCAAATTTTCGAAAAATCCAATGATTCCCGGTCAAAAATTGGTTAGCGACGACCTTAGTTCATCGGGGACGGTGACCAGGTGGTGGGGCATGGCCGCAAGCCAAGCCTGCAGCCCGTGACGCTAAGAATGGCTCCGGGGTTCTCTGGGTTCAGGCCTGGAGCCCGTGGCTTCGAGCCACTACCCGTTGGGTTCGAAAACCCTAAAAAAAAAAATTATTTTTCAAATCAAATTGTGATTATATTATCATAATTGTCTAACCTTTCCATAGTACATACTAGTATTATATTATTATTTCTGAGAAACTATATACTTGTTTGACAATGAGGAGTTACACGTTTTCAAAATTTTACTTTTATAGGCCCACTAGCCCTTTTTTTCCCTCTAGGATTTAGTGGCAATGCTCTATTGAGGACAAGGGCTTCTAACAAAAGCAAACATATACAAGGAAGGTTACTGCTTATTTACATATGCTCTGACATCACTTGTGTGATAACAGTTCAATCTGCTCATTTGTGCATTCTAGAATTAGTTACTTTAAATTTTAAATTAGTAACACTTTCCACATCTCTATCACTTTATGGCATTGTCACCTTAAAAATGTTGGTGAACACTGATCGATCCTGGTGCCCAGATGGACATTCTGGATCGGGATGTGTCAGCGTTGGAGGCCCATGATTATGAGGCGAATAAGTTGATTGATCATGCTCCCTTCAAGAAGATTAAGGCCAATGACCTTCGGGCAATCCTAACTATGGCCGGGGGGGAATTGGAGTCCAAGCGTAGGGCTAGAATCAAGTTGGAACATGTGTTGCAGATGCACAAACTTGACTACTTGTAAAGCAACAAACAACCTTAAGTAACCTAAGCATCAGTGGGGTGCCGGGCAAAGACTTTTTGATAGTCAAGTTAGTAAGCAATATTTGAGATTCAAGCAGTAGGCAAGAGAATATAGTATGCAATAATTGCACTACTAGAGATGTAGGCGAGAAGAGTGTATTTATACCAGTCGAGAACGAGTTATTTTAGGATACAAAATCCGTATTAAACTGGGAGAATCGCAAATGATATCTAGGAGCAGATATTGCATCTTCTTAGGAGTGTGATTATTTGCGGTGCATGTCAATTTCCTAGTTTATAGGAATCTCCAATAATATAGGAAACTTGACCAATTCCATACCGGCTATTCTTTAATGTCACACTATGATGTTGGGTGACGTATGAAATGCATTTTGGCACTACTTAATTTGATTGGATTAGCGGAGCGCATTTTGCGTGGGGAATACTCCCATTTTCCGTTTGGTTTGTTTGATTCCTGGATGCCCTCCTTCTTGGTTACGGCTTGTGGTGGGTATTGTGGCGGCCGTGCTAGCGGAGCTGTGGCGGTTGTCTTCTTGTTGTAGATCTCTGTATTCTTTCACTTTGAATGAATCTTACTTTGACCAAAAAAACATTAATTAGATTAAAGATTCTGATTCTGTTTATGACAAAAATAAGATCCAGAAAGGTCCGAAATTGCCACTGCCCGAAAGTTTATACAATTGACCGATTATATTGTGAATTGAGAATCTTCAAGTTTTAATTCAAACCTCATCCATCAAATTTCAAGACAAAGATCTCTGTCAATCGACTCAAATCCCTCCTTTCTGTTTAGTCCTTTGGCATGGAAAACGGAAGAGACAGACAAACTGGAAATCTAAGAGCATTCATGTTAAAGAAACCGTTGATTCCAGGAAACATGAGTCAACGAAAGACTACCCAAAAAAAACATTCACGTTATCCGCAGAGAGCAGACTAAATAGATAGCTGTTGGAGTTGTCAACAAAAGAAACCCACCCTAATATGTTCAAAGATCCCCCAGGGCAACTTCTGTTGCTCAGTGACAAACTCAAGATAGAATCTTGGTCGCTTATGTTTGATCGAAGTTGTCTGTCAGCGCGCGATCAGTGATCCAAGAGGAACTCAGCTGGTTGAGCTTTAGCTGCATAGCCGAACTTCCATGTGCTGTACTTCCGGTGCACTCCAGTGAGTTTCGCAGTTTCAGCATTCTGATGAAACGTAACCATCATCCTCGAGCATTCTCTGTTGATACATAAACATTACTTTTCTAACAAGTAAACAAATTTCATGTAACAAGTCAAATGTTTGCTACATACATGATCACACCGTACATACCACTTGGTTATTTCGTTTGCCAATGTGGTCCAAATAGATTTATTACCATGTGTATACCATAAAATTGCAATGAATCATGACAGTCAGTGCAAGAAGTACTCACAGGAGTTCATCTTCTGAGTAATTCGTATACCACTCACTAGTCTTGCTCCACTGCTTGAACCGGGACAGAGTACACTGAGCAGTATAAATTGCGGCAGCAGCTAGCATAGAAGGGGGGAACCTGAGCATTTCGTACTCCACCAGGCATAGCTCAATGAGGAAGAAGGACAGAAGCTCAAGCTGTTCATTCAATTCCAGGAAAACCAAGTACATTAATACCGTTAGGTTTTATAAAAATAAGTGAAATATTACTGCTTCTTATACTGTGTATCGCATGACTGACCTTTTTCTCTGAATGAGCTGCCTTGAGGAATCGCCTCATGAACACATACACGGTAGGAACAGAGAAGTTGAATTGTAAGCTGTTCACCATTGATTTCTCCATATCAAGCACATCTTTCCGTGAATATGCCTTATCTGATATCAGAACAAAATCCTCCACAATTGGGACAGAAACCTCCTCATACTTGCAAGCTAGTAGCATGGCTGTCACACCAACCAACTGAAGCTTCTTTCTGATCACCATTTGGCGCTCTAAGAACCTGTCTATAAGATTTACAGTAAGGAATAGTGTCTCATCCATAAGCTCAAACTTGTAGTGGACCTGTTAAAAGAATCAAAACCTGTTAACAATCTGTTCACATCACAGTACCAAACTCTTAATACTCAAACTTGGGCATCTTTAAAATGAATCCAACTAATGACACAAAATGGTACCTCAATAAGCCAGTCAATGAGAATTGCCCTCATTTTCTCATTGATGTCAGGTTGGTGAGCCATGTAACTTGGGGAGACAGAGCTTGACTTCTGCATGATAAAGATTATCATTTTTTAGTAAACTGAACCTAGTCGGTAACCTCCCCCTCATTTATGCATCTACTTATCTAGTTAAAGGGTGTCTCACTAGACAATCTGGCCAACTAACCAATTTGATTGATACTTATGGCAGAGAAGAATGCATTTCTACCAAAAGAAAACCAGTAAAACCAAAACCAAACAATGAAAACCCCAGAAAAGAAAAAGGCAGAAATTGATTGTCAACATATGCACCTCCAGAAATCAGACCAACCCTAAAATGAAAAGGTATGAGACCAAAAAAAGGTAAAGATTCTCATCTAATCAAACAGGTCAGTTTTCGACAAACCAACATTTGCATATCTGACATCCTTGTATAACTATTTCGGGTTAGCTACCCTAAGCCATACGACAACACAAACATGCAGTGCTTTTTATTTTTGAAGCTCATCTGATCAAACAGATAAATGAATTCAGAATTTTCAACATTCACTCGAAATAGTTATACAAGGATGTCAGATATGCAAATGCTTTTAATTGGATGTCAGTTATACAAGGATGTCCAATTACCCTATGCTCATATGAGAACAAAAAGTGCAGTGCTTTTAACTTTGAAGCTCATATGATCAAACAGATGCAAGAATTCTGTACTTTCAACATTGGTTAAATTCTACCCTAAGCCATATGAGAACACAAAAATGCAGCAGTATTTCTAAGCTCATCTGGTCAGTGATCACACAGACTTCCAACAAATCTTAAGGTTAACATCTATGCCTTTCATTTCTAATCCTCAAGAGCAGAACTATGTTCTTACATTGGTTTCAGTGATCCATCTAGTAGTAATACCATAGTATCTGCCTTCAATTGATCACACAGACTTCCAACAAATCTTAAGGTTAACATCTATGCCTTTCATTTCTAATCCTCAAGAGCAGAACTATGTTCTTACATTGGTTTCAGTGATCCATCTAGTAGTAATACCATAGTATCTGCTTTCAATAGCTAATGAAAATATACCTCAGATTTCCTGTAGTGAGCATAGATGTCATCTATGTACTCAACAACATTAAGCGGATCCTTTGAGCTGCTGCTGTCGATATCCATAATGGGGTCCTCAACCTCCAGAGTTTCATCCTCTTCCTGCAGTAATCAACAGAATGTACCGAGTTGGCCTTCTGATATATAAAGATGGGAACTTCTGAGGAAGAAAACTACTAGTAGTACTAGACAGTAAGACACACATACCATCCTATCAATTTCATCTAGCATAGCTTCGGTGTGCTTAACAAACATTGGTACATGAGCATCACAAGCCTCATCCTCAATGTTCTCCACATCTATAATTTCGCAATCCACTAAACCACTAGAATTTGCAGTATACGAGCTCAGTTTCTTAGCTTCCTGATTAACGTCCTGCACAGCTTTCGGATTTGCAGCAAATGAACTCACAGTCACTTCCTTGGTTTCCTAATTACATTTAAGAACACCAAAAATTGTAATTCGAATAAAAGCGAAAAACCAAAATGTAAACAAAAGATCCTTGTCATCGGTCTAA